TGTTGAAAACGCACGTGCGCGGCGCTGAGGCGACACCTCCATTCTGAAAACGGCCCGCCCTCCTCAATCCTTGAAGCTGCTGCGAGTATCAAGCTTCAAGACCACATGTAGCGAGGACATCTCAGGCGAAACGCTCAACCCGCCCTGCCGATACGTCTGGGGGTACGACAGGGTCGAGGTATTTATGCGGGGAAGGGGTGAAGAATGACGGTGATGAGCCAGAAGAGCTGATCAAAGTCCGTGCAGCGTAAAAACACAACGATGATGGACTGTCGGGGCTGCTAAGCCCCGACCGCATGCGACGGCAGGGCTGAGAAAGCAGGGGGGTGGCAGGGGCAGAAACAGCATACAAAGAAGCAGGGAGGAGCAATGAAGAGAAGCAAGGAGGAGGCGGAGGAGGAGGAGGAGGAGGAGGAGGAAGAGAAAAAGGAGGAGCAGGGAGGAGCAGAGGGGGAGGAGCAGGGAGGAGGGGGAGCACAAAAGGGGGAGCAGGGAGGAGCAAGGAGGAGGAGCAAGGACAAGGAGCACTGAGGAGCAGCGAGGAGCAGCGAGGAGGAGCATGCGGGCGAAGCACGCACCGCGGCGGCTCTGGGGCCTCGTGCCGCTGCGCGGCCGCCGCGCACGGCTCCGCGCTGCGCGCGCCAGGCCTCGGAAGGGGGGGGCGCTCCGCCGAGAGGCCGACAGGGCCAGCACCGGTCGCAGGACACCCCCGCGTGGCCGCTGTTTGCCCAGACCGCCACGCTCCGCTGGCCAGGACTTCGAGTTAGGTCGGTCATGTCCTGCTACAGGCGGATCTGGGGGACTTAATTTTGTTCTTAATATACATATATATATATATATATGTACTAAGTACATATATATATATATATATATATATACATATACATAAACATACAAAGAAGATCGGATTTTGGACGAAGAATAAGACAGAGTCGAACATATTCAAAAATGATTGAACAAACACAAAAAACATCGTCCCCAGACGGACGCGCTCGACTTAAACTTAGAGGGCATCCAGCCCCGCGCCACGACGACGACGACGACGACGGCGACGGCGACGACGACGCCCAAGGTTTCGGAGCAAGGAGCCGAGGCACCGATGCGACGGGGCGCGGAGGCACCAGGCCGCCGGTGCCGCCGGGAGCAAGCTCCTCATCGGGCGCGGCCCGGCCGACCCCTAGCAAACCACCATCCCCTTCCGTGACGTCGTCCTCGCCTTTCCACCTTCCCTCCGGCAGCATATATGCGTTTTTGATACGTTTCCCAAAGGGACGCCAGCGAAAGGGACTTCTGAGACCGCGGCGTTGCCTTCGAGACGTCGACGCGGGCGAGTGAGAAAGCGTCATGCGGCGACCTCGTTGGCGAAGCCGAGCGGACGTGAGAAACTGGCATCGCCCGTCTCATCAAAAGTTCCTTCCCCTGGGGCCACTCTTGGAACCATCTGAGTTTTGGGGCGAGACGATGGGGGCGTCACGGAGGGGGATGGTTTGCTAGGGGTCGGTCAGGCCGCCCCTGACCTCAGCGCCCTCTTGGAGGCTACGAGAAGGGCGAATGACCAAGGGGAGGCTCCACCAAACTCCCCACTGGCGGTGTTTGCATGCGTCCCCCCCGCTTAATATTTGCTGCTTTTCGTGGCCGCGACGTTCGCATGGCGGCCCAGCTTCATTTCGGCACACCCTTGCCAAGTTTCGTGGCCCCATGTGCAGCGCCACCGAAGGCCCCAATGGTTGCGCCCGCGTGCGTCTTTGCCCCATTTCGGCACACCCTTTACACGCTGCGCGGGCCCCATAACGAAATCCACCGAAGGCGATACCCACAACGGCGATACTCACAACTGCATATCGTTGGGTCTTTCGCCAAGATAATTGTAAGTCTCTGGGGGCCCCATGAGACAAGTCACCAACCACTACGGGGGTCGCCACCTTCCCCAAAAAAGCGCCCCCCCCCTGGACCCTCCAGGGTTTCCCCCCCAGGACTCCCAAAGACGGCCCCGCACTGCCCAAACCTCCTCGATCCCCAATAGATCACCGACTTCCAGAAGCCGACCCCCGCCGGGGCCCTGGGGCCACCAGAACGCGGCCGGGGAACTCGCCATCGCTCGGATGTCCATTCCCTGTGCATTTTTCGGCTTCGCGCGTGTTCTTTTTGCAATGTGATGCAAAATGCTCCGCGATCGTCCTGGCCGAGAAAAAGTGCACACGTCCGAGCGATGCCAGGGGAATTGAGAACCAGTCTCTAGGAAGGGGTCGAGATCTGCGGCGGGACCCCGCTGTTTCAGATGAGCGGCAAAATGTGACTACGTGAAGTGCCCACTTGCTATGTATTAAGATTGCTACTCGTCTGGCTCCATCCCCCCCCGCAATCCGCAAATCCATGACCACCTTCACCTGCAAGGTATTCTCGCTCGTCTTGGCGTCACGTTTCGTTCAGGCAAAGTATGTGGTTTCAGTACATGCAGTTAGTCGTTTGCTCTGCTATAAGACATCAAGCCCCTGACATTCAAACGGAGAACTTGCCCTGTCAATTCGGTATCGTCGTCCCTGCTGCCACCAGTGCTTATGACAGTCGGCTGATCCACTCGCAAAGCTGATACTGGGAAGTGACCTTCGACGTCCCCGTACATACCTCTACCACCCCCAACGCTGACAAATGCATGATGGCGTCCTTCGCCGTGTACTCTAAGCTCGGCCTTTGATGTTGGGCTCCTTAGGTTTTCCCGCCTGTGAATTCAGAACCCCACTCCTTCATGTACTCGCCCTCGTCCTGGTACTTGACCTCCCCTCCTTCGTACCACGCCGCCTTCCCACCCTTGAGCTCGACAACATCCGACTCCCACTGAATACCCATGTCGCGCAAGTTGTGGACTTTCTTGTGCAACTGGTGTTTGACTTGGCCGAGCTTTTTATCAATAGCTCGTTGTTGTATGGTGTGGTTACTCGTGAATGCCATGTCTCCACCAGTCCCCCGCTTAGCATCTGAATCCCTAGTACGCTTGAGAAGTCAATGTGTTGATGCCATGCTCTTGATGTCGGGCGAACACGTCATTGACCTAACCTTCCATGCCAAGAAATCTTGACGGCCTGGGTCACCTGCCTTCAAACCCTTCGCTATCACCTGTAGTTCTCGGATGCCCTGGGAGATTCACGTATCGTCGTTTTCGGATGCGTTTGCTTCCCCTCCTCCAAGAACTCCTCCTCCTCCCTGTTGTGCTTGGTTTCCCTGTACTCCCCTAACTCTCCATACCCGTGTTGGTACCGTCGAGACCGATCTCGACATTCAAACCTCTGCTCGGGCTTTCCCTTCGGTGTCGCTGGCGATCTGAATTGTCTCCTTCATGCTGCCAATGGCAGTTGTGTCAATCTCGTGCTCGTGGGACAAGCGCTCCCCTTGTGCTTCTGAGACCCTTGGGAAGCGAGAACACTGCCAATGGAACAGGTGACGCTCATAGTTTTCCGAACTGCTAGCTTTGCAGTTCGAGCTTGCCTTCACCCTTGCTTAAACACCTTGAGCCAAAGTGGCTAGTGGATGGATGGAGGGGGGGTGGGGGGAGTGGGGGTGGGGTCCATTGGTTTCTGAAACCTCCGTCCGGATTCTTTGCAGAAGGGGGTTCTTCAATTTCTGAACCCTCCTGTTGGTTGTTTTCTACACCAGCGGCGGTGGATCGCACTCCCTCGACACATCCGAGAACCTCCTCCCTCTTGATCCTCGAACCTCGACCCTCCTCGAAGTGTCGGAGGTTGCCAGAAGTGATCCTGGCCCCAGGTGCCCCCCGCTTTTCGCACCATTCGGACGCCCATGTGCCCCCCACCCCGCTGCGCCTCGCGAGGGGTGCCTTAGAGGCCATATCTGGGCCTCCATGGGGAGCCCGTCCGGGCCTCCCCGGGCCAAGGGTACCACCTCTCGTCAGCACCCGTCATCGAACCCCCGTGCCCGTCCCAGGAGGAGGAAGAGGAGGACGACGGCGACGAAGAAGACGACGACGACGACAGGGACGAGGGCGCAGCAAACGAGCATGAGGAGGATACTGGCGACGACGACGACGACGACGCCGACAGGGACCACGAGGAAGAGGACGAGGAAGACGAGGATGTTTTCGGGGATCCACTGGCTCGGGTCAATGCACACCTGGGCCAATCAAGCTTTGCAAGATCGCGTAGGATCCTGCAGGATCCTGCGCGCAAGCCTGGGTCAATGCAACCCTGGCTTTGCAGTGTCATGGAAGCTCCGGCGCCCTAGCTAACCTCCATTTGCATTGACCCCCCGTCTCAAGGCTCCCGAGCACGAGGGGGAGACTGGCGACGACGACGGCGACGCCGACAGGGACCACGAGGAGCAGGAGGAGGAGGAGGAGGAGGAGGATCAGGAGACGAGGAGGAGAGGAGGAGGATGAGGATGAGGATGAGGATGAGGATGATGATGAGGAGGAGGAGGAGGATAATGAGGAGGAGAATGAGGAGGATAATGAGGAGGAGGATAATGAGGAGGAGGAGGAGGAGGAGGAGGAGGAGGAGGAGGGGAGGAGGAGGAGGAGGAGGAGGAGGAGGAGTTTTAACATCAACGTCCGCCCCTGAAGTCCTCTCCACTCCTCCGCGCGCTCCACGACGATGAGGCCGAAGTGCAGGGAGAGGAACGCGAAGTCCAGCGCAGTGGGGATATGCAGCACTTCCCCACGCGAATACTGGACAGACCAGCTGCCATTCTCCAAGAATTGCGGCTCCCAGTAAAGAGTGAGCACGACTACAAGATCGACGCGGCGGCCACATACAATGCAAAACATATGCACCAGGAAGGTCCGTTACGACGAAAAAATGCCAATGCATACGAAGTCGAACAGAGCCGAAATAGTAATTCCGAATAATAGAAACCAGTGCCAGTACTCCTACGATGACACCTATCATGAGATAGCTAGGTGCCATCAAACCTGTCCAGCGCGTCGTCGCGATCGTCTGAATCCGAAGCGAACTAGAAGAAGGGCACTCTCCACCACGAGTTCGCGTCACCAACTCCGGGACCAGGATGAGCATCGAAGAGGCGGCCCACACCTGGATCAGCAGGGAGACCTCTCGGAACCCAAAGGGCGGAAGCCATCTCCGCACACGTAGCCCTCGAAGTCGAACCACGATCGACGGCAGGAGCCCCCGCAACAACATCCTCAGCACGACAGTCTGTATGAGCATACACGTGGTCGCGACCGCCGACGCCCATCACACCCGAAGAGCCGACTACCCATGGGGGTTGGGACCCCTGGGCAGGGAACTGAGACTCGATCCCCACGACCTGCTCGTTCTCCTGGCCCACGTCGTGCTGCAGCTCCTCCTTCTCCGCGGCCTGGAGCTGAGGTGCCAGGCGCACGCCCGCAAGGAACCCATCACTGAAGGCACCCGCGAGGACCTCCTCGGGCAGCTGCCACACCCCAGGCGCCACGTCCACCACGGAGCCCCCCTGGTCGCCAGCAGTACCGGTCACGCCGAAGGCCACCTGCGGCCGGGAGGGCGGATCTTGGGCGCAAAATCCACCGCCGCCCAGCCCCAGGCGCGGGCCAGTAGCCGCCCACGCGATGCTCTCCGCAGAGGCTCGCGCAGAGCCACCAGGCGGCACCCGGTGCGCGTGCCAACTGGCGTTCCGCCTACGCCGCTTGGAACCTGGGACTCGTCCGCCACCCACCGCCAGCTGTAAGGCTGGCCGCGCAGCACGCTCACGGTCGACCCATGAGCCCGGTGCAGCGCGCGCCTGCTCCAGCGGCACGAGCGCAGCCTCGAGGGCGGCTCGGGCTCGCGGTCGTGCAGCTCGGCGAGCGGCGGTGGCCCCGAGCAGGGAGACCTCGAGCTGTCGTTGCGAAGTAGGCCGCCACGGCGGGCAGCTCCCCGTAGCCATTCTGCAGGCGCGGATCGCTACGAACTGCTTCAGCACTGGCCGCACAGGAAGGGCTGGCTTGAGCAATGGGGCTGTCGCTCGATCCTGAGCGGCTTGAGCCAAAATGGCTACGGAGGAGGCGGAGGAGGAGGAGGAGGAGGAGAAGGAGGAGGAGGAGGAGGAGGAGGGGGAGGAGGAGAAGGAGAGGGGGAGGACAAGCTAGGTGCGCTCGCATCATATCTGACGTCCTACCCCTCCCCTTCTCCCGTCCCTTCCCATGGCGTAGATCTCCTCTCTATTCGCACAATCAGATGTCGCAACATGGCATAGCATTACATGGCATAGCATGGTGTTGAAAACCAACGCGTAGCATGACATAGCATGACGTAGCGACGCCCCAAAGTGGGGGGGCTTCTGCGGCTCCAAAAAATCAACGAAACGACACCGAATGTTTAATCACTTCCGATGTTTTTTTTGTCGGGGGCATTTTTTAGATTTTGGGGCCGATTTGAAGGACCGAGAACCATGCCGTGGCATGGCACTGGAAATAATGACGCCAACGCTGCAGCGGGAGCACGATTCGGAACGAGCGGAAGCGCGGAAAGGAGGCCAACGCTGCAGCGGGAGCGCGATTCCGAACGAGCGGTGTTCCGAAAATAAATGAGGCCAGCGCCTCAGCGAGAGCAACATTTGGAACAAAAACCCAAGCGCGGAAACGCGGAAATGAAGACGCGTAGCCTGACATAGCACGGCGTGGTGATGCTCCAATGTGGGGGAGGCTTCTGCGGCTCCAAAAAATCAACGAAACGACATCGAATGTTTAATCACTTCCGATGTGTGTGTGTGTGTTTTTTTTCGGGGGGGCATCTTCTAGATTTTGGAGCCTATTTGGAGGGACCGAAAACCATGCCGTGGCATGGCGCTGGAAATAATGACGCCAACGCTGCAGCGGGAGCACGATTCGGAACGAGCGGAAGCGCGGAAATGAGGCCAGCGCTGCAGCGGGAGCACGATTCGGAGGACGCGGAGTCTGACGTAGCATGTATTTTGGAGCCTATTTGGAAGGACAGAGAACCATGCCATGGCATGGCGCTGGAAATTCGCCGGCCCAACGGGCCAGAGGCGTGCTAAGATCTCCGGTAACTGGTTAACAATATTTCTAGTTCGCGCTCGCGGAGCGGCCGCTGGGGGGGGGCCCGGACGAAAAGTACCCCAGCAAGGTCCAGGGAGAAGCTACCAGAGCACTCCAGGGAAAAGCCATTTTTCGACACCCTTCACGAGGATCGTGGCCTCCGAGGGGGGAGCCACAATCGACTACCCCCCCTCCCGCCCCAAGAGGCCCCCCAAAGCCCCCCCAAGAGGCCCTGGGGGCCCCCAAGACGCCGCCACGGAGCCCTAAGAGACTCCCAAGAGGTCCCCAATAGGCCCTAAAGAGGGCTCCAGGGCCAGCGGAATGAGCAAAGCGATTAATAATGACGCCAGCGCTGCAGCGGGAGCACGATTCGGAAGGAGCGGAAGCGTGGAAATGAGGCCAGCGCTGCAGCGGGAGCACCCGGAACAAGCGGTGTCCCGAAACTGAAGCCAGCGCCTCAGAGAAAACAACACTTTGAAACAACCCAAGCGGAAATCCTTCTCCCTGGAATCCTGTGTGTCAAAAACAATACGCGGAGGGGGGCCGGTCATTTCCCGGACGTCACCAGGGGAGAGAGGAGAGTAGTACTCATATTGTGTAATTGTCGAAGAGGAGGAGGAGGGGGATGATGATGATGATGATGATGATGATGATGATGATGATGATGATGATGATGATGATGATGATGATGATGAGGAGGAGGAGGAGGAGGAGGAGGAGGAGGAGGAGGAGGAGGAGGAGTCCGACGAGGACGAAGACGTCTTGGAGTCGTCCTCCTCCAAGCGGCCTGGCGCTGTGGGGCGCGCGGGAGGCGACCGCCGCGGCGGGCGCGGGCGGCCCGTGGGCGGCGGCGGCGGCCGGCGGCGACGCCGGCAGGGCGCCCTGTGAGGGCGCGCCTGCGCGCCAGGAGGGGCAGGTGGAGGGGCTGTTCAACAAGCTGGGTGCGACGTTCGAGCGACTTCGTCCCGATGTTCTCTTGTGGCTTTTTGTTTTTCCTCTTCCTCTCCATGTTTACGTTCCTCCAGGTTCTGACTTTCGTTCACTTGCTCCTGATGTGCAACTCGTGAGGGGCTATTCGACAAGCTGGGTGCGCTCGCGCCTCGTCTGGCATCCTACACCCCCTCTCAGGGCTTCAAAAAAAAATCGGCCAAGAGAACGGCCTTCGCGCCAAGCGCTTTCTCGGGCAGCAATCCAGGTCCAGATCTACGAAAGTTCTACGAAGAAGAGGGGCTCCAAAAAACGCCTAGGGTCCAGTCCAGATTCTTGATTTTCTTGTCAACAATATCTGGAGCCCATCAAAGTTCAAGTTTTTCTTAGTCGTCGTCGCCGCCGCCGTCGGACGAGGATGGCGAGGAGGAGGAGGAGGAAGAGGAGGAGGAGGAGGAGGAGGAAGAGGAAGAGGAGGCGGACGAGGAAACAAGGGGAACGGGGCACGCTAGGTGCGCGCGCGCCTCATCTGACATCCTATCCCTCCCTTCCTCCCAATCCTTCCTATGGCGATGTGGTTTGCATCCGCGGGCGCGTGTCATAGTTGACGTGCGGCTCCCGCAGAAAAAACGCTTCGTGTGATTCGCAATCGGAGAAGCATAAACTGCGCGCACAGGAGGAGGAGGTGGTGGGTGAGCAGGAGGATGTGCGGGGGGAGAAAAATGAAGACGAACAGCGGCAACAGGAACGAAAGCGGACGGAACGGGAGGAAAAGGAGGACCAGGGGAAGGCGGAGGGTTATTCGAGTTGGAGGTCGACAACAGAAGTGTTATTCCAAGCAGGTCTTCTTTCGTGGAATCTACAAGACATATGTAGATTGCTCGTATATTTACGAGCACTCCGCATGTGTGATGCAGGCCCGATGAAAACAAATAATTCTGGGTAGCAATTCTATAATCGATCTCCTACACTCAGAACTTATGATAAGACATCTTCTACATTGAGACCCAGCTTCGCTGAATTCCTCAAACCTCTTGTGAGGGTCAACTTCGGAAGCGTGCAATTTCTTACCGCCTGTCTCGGGTGGTTTCAATCAAGCTTGCGCGGGTGATTCTGCCGATTGCGTTGCCAGGGGCTGCGGAGCAATATTCGAAGGAACGCATGCAAGAACATTTGGAAAAAGATCTGGCGGGAGTTCTGGACGAAGAACAACGGGAAATCTGGAATAATATCTAAAAGGAGATACGGAACAAAAATCAAAGGGGAAATCTGGAAGAACATCTAGCAATGAATATCCGGAGGGAGGTCCGGACAAAAAATTAGAATGAAGATCAGGAGAAAGATTTGTTTCCCGATCTTTGGAACATCTGGGGAAGATCTGGGCGAAGATCTGGAGGGAAATATAGTGGAACACCCCGAGGGACATCCTGGGGGCGATCTGGGGGGAGATTTGTGAGAAGATCCGGAGGATGTTCTGCAAGAAGATCTGGGGGAATATCTGGTGTAATGTATGGAAACACTGTACGGGAAGATCTACAGGAATATACATGGAAACCTGGGGGAATCTGGTAGAATATCTAAAGGAAGATCAGCAGGAACACCTGGATGCGGTTATCGGCGAAGATCTGGGGGGAGAATTGGAGGAACCTCTTGGATAATATCTATATTCTGGTAGAAGTTCTCACGGAAGATCTGGAGGGAACTCTGGAAGCACATGTGGGAGAGAATCTTGGCTAATATTTGGGCGAAGATTTGCAGGAATACCCGGGTGGGGAGGTTATGATCTAGAGGGGAACCCGGAGGAAAACCTGAAGGAAGACCCACATGAACATATGGCGGAATATCTGACAGAAGATCTTTGGGGGACTTTGCAAGAAAATCTGGAGGGCGATCAGGGGGGATCTCGAGTGAGATCAGACAGAAGACCTGGAGGATCTGGCGGAAGATCTGGAACAACAGCCAGAGGAATAACCCAGGGAAGTTTGGCAAGGTATCGGGAAGAACATCTGGATTAACGTCTCTGGATAAATTTGAAAAATGATCTGGCGAAAGATATGGAGAGACATCTGGGGACAGATCCAGGGGAAGATCTGAACGAACATCTGGAATAAGACTTGGAAGATACCCCGAAGGAGAATCTGGGGAGCGATGAAGGGTTAGATCTCGGGAAATATTAGGGCGGAAATATGGAGGAACAGATGGAGGAAACTCTGGGGGGGGGTTCTGGGCAGAGATCTGGGGGTGATCTGAAGGGAAGTCTGGGAGAAAAAAAAAAAGAGCAACACCTGTGGGATGATCTGGGGGAGGATCCAGAGAAAAATCTGGAGGAGGATCTGGAGGGAGGTATGGAAGAAGATCTGGAAGGGGAGGGACTGAATGAGTTTTAGCAGAAAGCCCGACGGGAGATCTGGGAAGATATCTGGAAGAATTCAAACAAATCGGGGGCAAGATCTGGAGGGGTATCTGGGCGTGCATCTGGAAAGTACCTGGGGGAATACCCGGGAGAAAACATGGGGGAAGATCTGGGGAGAGATCTACGGGGGGATCTGGGGAACATTATGGAGGGAAATCTGGCGAGGATCTGAAGGGACATCTGACAAACATGTCCGACGAATAGCGGGAGGAAATCTAGATGAGCATCCAGAAAAACATCTGGGAAAACGTCTGGAATACGATCTGGCTCAAGATATTCGGGGAAGCATCTGGGGTAACATATGGATACGTATCAAAGAAAATACTCGGGGAAGTATCAGCTGGAATATCTTGGGGGCGATCTGGGAAAAATCCAGAGGAGGTTCTGGGGAGAAATCTCGAAGTACATGTGAAGGACAATCCGGGAGTAATGCTGACTTACACATTGGGAATGTCTAGAGG